ATGAGCTATATATCCGCTGCGAGATGAGGCCCCAACCATCTCCAGCAATGGCGCCAGTCACAACAGTAGCGGCAACACCAGCCACAACAGGGACAGTGCCAATCACAATAGTAGCAGCGACGCCTGTTACAACAAATGTGACAACATAACCACTCAAGTACGGAGTGTAACCAAATCCACAATGTCATCTAGAAGAGTAATTATTCAAGTCTGTTAGGCAAACTTATTTATCTACTGCATGTAAACCTGGATATTTATAATCAATTTGGTACACTATTGCAATTGAATTTACTTGGAAAGCAATTTGGTGTACATTTGAATATCGCGAATATCCAACACGGCACTATCAAGTATAAGGTGGCCCTGGTTTGGCAAGGAGCACTTCGAAGAAATGCTCAATACCCTACCATATAGAGTTTATCATACTCGGTAGGAATGTTAGTTTCGAGCTATACACGGAACAATCGGTTAAACTTTGTGAAAGAAAAGTATTCGACACTTACTGCAGCTTTCTTAGCACAAGCATCTGCTTGCTCGTTCCATTCCCTCTTCAACTGAAAGAACTGAACACTGAACCCTTGGGACTCGAGTCTTTCAACTTTCTCCAGCAAAAGCGTCCAGAGGTCCTGATTCTTAACGTGCGTTCCAGACGCCGTCTTCCACCCATTCTTTCTCCATTTCTGACACCACTTGCTGATACCCTTGACCACATACTCCGAATCTGTCCCGATCACCAATCTGCCGAATCCCTCACCGGACCAGTGGCGCATCTCCACTGCTCCCAGCACCGCGCGCAACTCTGCACGATTCGAAGTCGGCTCACCGCCATCAGGAGCATGTTCAAGAGGAAAGCTAATGCCAGGTTGAAGAGGGCTATAAACGACACCACACCCCCCGCGAGACCCTGGTTGTCCATTCCCAGGGGCAGCGCCGTCCGTGAATACGAACACAGACGGTGTTCCTTCATTATCGATATAGACCCAACGTGCATTAGGAACCGAATTCAGACTGACTGCGGGTGTAAAGATGTCGAGAGGATGAGCACCCTCACTGGCGATAAAGATACGCTTCTTTGCGGCATCTAGGATGGGAGGGCGAACCCTATTCACAGGCCCGCTAGAAGCTGACATGCGTGGTAAGGATTCTAATCTGGTATCGTATTCTCTCACTTGTTGGTTCAAGATCAACATCTTGGCGAAGGAGTGAGACCACCTGACACCGAGGGCTGTTAGTTCAAGCGATAATATGGACCAAACTACTTAACCAGAAGTAGAAGATGTAGATATAAACAGTATTATAGATAGTACCCTTAGGTCTTCAGTATGATACCAAAGTATTGAGATAATAGATGCTTTCAATATCCAGAATGAAGGACAGAAGCAGCCGAGAAAAGCTTTAATAGTCAAGTGCGTATAAAAGTAGACAGGGTGACTTTTTGGCGCTCATAAAACGACACGCATGCGTATTTATACTGAACGGATACAAGCACATGTAGCCACCACATCAGCGGCTGAAGTGGCAGATGGGATTAAATAGTAGCTACACATTGGAGACAAGTAAAGGACACGTAGGTTGAAGGTGCTAGAACATAACCACTCTCCTAACAAAAACCCATTATCAGCCTTCTGTGAATGAAGTGTGACAAGCCATTTTGATTGCGTTGAGAAGTGAAGAGATGCAACTATCACCAGATATACATGGAATTAAAATCTTCCACCCAAACCATATTTTTCAATTTCTAGATCGGATCCAAACCGAAACACCCTTCCTCTCGTAAGGGATGGATACAAAGGTCGTTCATGCCGACACGGGTTGTCCCATAAACGCATACCACGCAATCGTGAGACCACCACACACTGCACTGAACACGCAAGCAAACATCGCACCAATGCCCTTGGGCGTCCATCCTAATTTGAGTGGGTACGGTCCCACATTCAACCCGCTCAAATCCGTCGTCGAGTTGTGCCCAGCCGCATTACCCGTATACGGTGTACCAACTTTACGACACTGCTCGTACATAAAGTCGGGCGGGTGGACAAACTGTTGGGCCATCGTAGGGGCTTCGAGGAATGTGAAGGCGAGACCGGCTTGGAGATGCCATTCGATGTGACAGTGGAAGAGCCATGCACCAGGGTTATCGGTGTGGAATCGGATCGTCACTGAGCCGTCTGGTGGAACTTGGAAGGTGTCGCGCCAGAGTGGGTTGGCAAGTCCCTCTTGGACGGGTGGGTTGAGCTCTGGGTCGTCAGAGGCAACGTTCCAAGATTTGTGTACGATGGCAAACTTGTGACCGTGTAAGTGGCTGCATGGAATTTAGTAATGGGGTATTAGAATAAGAGGGAAACGTACAAAGGATGCTTGCCAGCGTCCCAGTTGACAACCTTGATTTCGTAAATAGTATTGTACTCGAGGACTTCACTATTA